TATTAGCCATCTAAGAAAACTTGGACAAGTCGAGTAACTGCATGAACTTGGATTTTCACACTGGTAAATGGAAGTGATAACAATTTTTACTAAATTACAAGATTGTGTGAAGAACCAAACCAGATTTCTATGGCAAAAATTATGCATATTTCAAGCAAACCTGAAGTCATTCAAGTGAAGTTAATCTCTGGATGGAGGAGTGTGGGGTGGAGACTTACACACAGGGTAGAGACATGGAACCTGACAGCCCAGGATGACTGATTCCAGTTTTCAAGAGCAGCGAGAGCCTTGTTAACACCAGCAAATGATTGCCATTTCCCTTGTCAGGCAGTGACAGGAGTTAGTTGACCTGAAAATTCACTAATAGTTCCATTAGAGAGGCCTTGGAAGTAGCCATCTTTTTACTCATCCTGGTCAATTAACAATGAATTAATGCCAGACATATTTTCAATTGAGCTGAAAGCTGATTTCCCCCCATTTTGCTAAAAATATAGAGGGACAGCTGGCCAGAAAATATCCTGCTTTTCTTTCTAAGACTGTTCAGAGCATTTCTGAGCTAGTATCAGCTCCAGGCATTGATGAGCTAGTAGTTCAAACCCTGAATTTGACAAAGGACATCCAGGTTCAAGTACCAGCCTCCCCAATCACCAACTGTGTGGTTTTTGGACAAAGAACAGAATATTTCTGAATTTTGGTGTTTTTACATGTAAATTGAAAGGCTAGAGATAAAAGCTAAGGTCACTTACAGCAATAAAATGTTATGATTATATTTAAAGTGATTTTAGCCATGGTAGTGGAATGGCAGGCTGGACTTGGTATTGATTTTTTCAATGCACTCAGATAGGAATCGGGACATCGGGGTAAGTCTTAGTCCTTGTTCTAGTCCAGTGGTTCTCAACTAGGGTAGGTGGGTGGGGTTGGTGGGAGGAGTTTGACCCCCATCAAATATTTGGCAATATTTGGAGACATTTATGGTTGGCCCCCCTGCAGGGATGCTGTTGGCATCTAGTGGGAAAAGCTCTGAGAGACTGCCAAACATCCTACAATGCATATGACAGGCCCCACAACAAAGAATGATCCAACCCCAAACATCAACATGTTGAGAAAACTTGTTCTAGTATATATTGGGTAGTTTTGGCTGAGTCATAGCTTTTTCATTGTTCTCCATGTCCTCCTATATAACATAGGGATGATAATAAAATCGGCCTTTTTCTATCATCTCACAAAATTGACAGCCAAGTTGGTAACAGAGCAAAAAAGTGCCTTAAAATTTAATGTGGTTCAAAATGAAGAATATCCTGTTTATTAACCCACTTTCGTTGTTTCATGTGCTACTTCACTGGGGTCTAGCCTCTTACCCTCTCTTGGACATGTGGTTTAAAATACTTCAGTTTGTGGCAGGACATCAATACCTGACCCTTGTTAAATTAATTAAACAAGGAGCCTGAAGTAGTTTTTTTGTAGGTAGCCTGCATAAACAAACTAAAATCTAAGCCTGTAAACACCTGAGGGTTATGAAAATGAAACATAAGGGCCACCAATTACAAACAGCTAGCCAGGCTTTCAGTGATAACCAATCAATTTCCTTACTTTGCTTTTACCTTTCCTTTATAAAAGCCCCTTTCCAGCTCCTGTCTGGGGAGCCCTCTTATCCACGTTCATTTTGGTGCATTCAAAATAGTTTTTGCTCAAACACCTGAAAATTTTTAATATGCAACAGTTTATCTTTTCCTCTAGGAGTTAACCTCCAGTTAACCTCTAAGAGTCATGAACCTTGACCCCAAACTAAAGTAAGAAAGGTCTTTTACATTTTGATTATTAGGGAGTATTTCTATTACAAGCCCACATCTGGTAGGGGTCAAACTCTCAATCTCAACAGAGCAGAACTTCTCCTTCTGTTTCCTTGAGGCTGCATTCTTGTTCCAGGAGGTTATGCAGGTCTGAGGCCCTGGGGCTGGAGAGGGAGTCCAAATATTTGCCATAGTCACCTATCTGTACTAGCATTCCTTGGAATGAGACATTGCTTGTGAAGTCATCTGTCCATCTAAGTCACTGCAGTGTCCTCCCTGTTACAACTACCACATCCCAAGAGCATACACCTTATGCTGATATCTCCAACTCATCCATGTGCTCCCCTTAGACCAGATCTACTCTCCTCTCCTCTGCCATCTGAGAACTTTCCTCTCCATAGACCTGGCTGACAAACTGCACACAAGTTATCTTGCTGTTAACACCCTCCCCCCAAACCTATCTGGGGTTTCTATATTCAGAGTTTCTGCCTGGAGCAGGAGGTAGCCAGGGAGAGGCCTTTTCCCTACAGCAGCATCCAGATTGAATATTCTTGCTTCTCTCCCCTCCTCTAGTCCAATCAAATAACCTTACTTAGCTATAATAATATTCTAATTATCTTCAGCTATAATATTCTAATTATCTTTATCCACACCCTCCAAAGTTTTTTACCGTATCAAAGACAAAATTTTTGAAATTAAAAAAACATTTTTCCTCCATAGAAGATACATAAATGGCCAATAAGCACACGAAAAGACACTCAACTTCATTTATCATTAGGGAGCTACAAATCAAAACCACAATCAAATGTCACTTTACACCCATAGGATGGCTATTATAAAAACAAAAACAAAAACAAAACAGGAAATAAAGAAGTGAGAATGTGGAGAAACGAAACCTTTGTACTTTGCTGGGTGGGAATGTAAAATGGTGCTGCCAGCGTTGTGATTTTTTTAACATATTAAATATAGAATTTCCATATGATCCTGCAATTCCACTTCGAGAAATATACACAAAAGAAGCAAAGCAGGGACTCATTCAGATATTTACACATCCATGTCCATAGCATTTTTCACAACAGCCTACCAGCGGAAGCAATACAGATGTCCATTAACTGATGAATGAATAAATAAAATGTGCTATACACAGACAATGGAAGAAAAAAATTCTGACACATGCTACAACATGGATGAACCATGAAGACATTATGTAAAGTGTCTTCATTTGGCTTATTCCATTAGCCAGACATAAGAGGACCAATATTGAATGAGTTCACTTATATGAGGTACCTAGAATGTTCAAATTCATGAAGACAGAAAGCAGAAAGTGGCTGCCTAGGTGTGTGCATTGGCGGGGGACTATGGGCAGTTAGTGTTTAATTGCTACAGGCTTTTAGTTGGGAAGATGAAAAAGTTCTGGAGAAGGATTAGGGTGATGGTTGCACAACAATGTGGGTGATTATCGCCACTTACTGCCTTACTTATCTAAGGTGATAAATTTTATGTTAGGTGTATTTAACACCATTTTTAAAAAAATCATTTTTTCTGTAGCCAACATGACTTCATAATCTACAGTGGTTGAAGGAAGAATAACACAGGAAATGAAGAAATTGCTTAAAACTATAATTAATATACTTTATAAAGTAAAAATAACATATATAAAAATATTATGTAACCACAGACCTATCAAATAAGTATTTCTCTTTTTCTTCTTCTTAAAAAAGCAGACTCATCTCCAGGATGTACAATTTGATTGTCAAATGAGGAAGCAAACCATTCCCAGCAGAGTCAATCAGGATCAATTCATTGACTCACTGTCAGCTTACTGTACCTTTATTCCAACCCTCCAGTCTAAATTTGGATTCTTGGCCAAACATATTTCTCTCTTTCTCTTTCCCTGCCACACCTCCCTCATTTTCTCTTTCAAGATTTACCTAATTAGGAATACCAATAGTGGTCACCATTTTTCCAGGTTTGAAATATATGATTACTAGAGTAATATACATGGGTTCCAGATAATTTAACAAATGATGTTGGCACAATTGGTTTTTAAAAATGAGTTTGATTCATTGTACATCTTGCACTTAGATAAATTCCAGATGGGTCAAAGATTGTTTAAAATGATTCACAAAATTTGTGTAAGACACATGAAGAAATTTTTTACATGATCTTACAATGAGGACTCTAAGTATGACATAAAATTTAGAAGTCATAAAAGAAAACTTTGATAAATTTAAGATTATAAAAGGTTTAAAAATTATTTGTAAAAAAAACTACTTTGAAAAATATTAAAACATACTTTTCCAGTCTTGCCTTGCATATTGCAATAAAAGGACTAATTTCCTTAATATAGAAAGTATATCAACAATACTACAAGAAAAAGTTCATAGGAAGAATGGACAAATGATACAGAAAGCCAATTTAAAGAGAGGAGAGAGTAAATATATGAAAAGGAGAATTCATAAATATATGAAAAGGTGCTTGCCTTCATCATTACAAAAGAATCACAAATGAAAACAACATATGAGATTGACAAAAAATAACAATTTGGATAAAACATCAGCTTATTAAAAATATGGGGGAACAATCACTTCCCAGAGCTGTTGTAAGACATGTGAATGAATATAGTCTTTATTGATCAAAATTTTAAATTTTACTCTTTGTCCCATACTAATTTTGCTTCTGCAAATTTACTCCACAGATAGAGTCACAAAAAGAAATAGCATACATGCAAACAGCATGTCTCCACTGGTGGGAGTCAGCTTAAATCAATTTTGATGTATACATAAAATGGAGTGTTATGTCACTGAGACACAAGGCCCACCCCCAGGTACTGATACGCATCTACCTCCGGGATACATCTGATTATAAGTGTTTAAATCCTAGTTGTGATACTTAGGAAAAATTTTAAACTTCTTTGTGCTTCGGTTTCCTCATCTGTACAATTGAGATGACAATAATAAAACCTGTCTTAGAAGAATATTGAGATGATTAAATGAGTTACTATGTTTAAAACACTAAGAAAGGTATTTGGCATTGCCAAACCACCTTCTCCTTTTTCCTTATTTATTTATTTTTGTAAGTATCAAGGGATTGTGGTAAATCTGGACTGGGTAAAACTAAGCCAAAGAGTCACTCTTTGCTACCCCTCCAACGTATTTACGGGTTTCACCTTCAAATGAATCAGGAACAGAAAAGATCTACAGGACTTACCCTCTCTGACAGTTTCAGTCAATCGATGCATCATCTTCAAATACTTATTTTAGTATTTCAGGGCCTGCAGAGGAAATAGGCATGATGGTGTTTACTACTGTATTGTTAACCTTGAGGTTGGGTGGACAATTCTTATATATAAAACAACAAAAGAAGGGAATACATATTCTTTTACTGAGACACACTTTGTGTTATGTGTTAAATCCTTTGCAAAAATATTCTCATGTAACTGAAAGATAACATAAACTAATATCACATCAATTTTTTTTAAAGATTTATTTATTTATGCATACAAGAGCTGGGATACAGGCCAGAGGTGTGGGGGTGAGAGGATTCACCAGAGACAGAGTGGGGAACAAAACAGGCAGATTGACCGAAGTACACTGCTGAGAGGAGCAGCAGGCTAGTCAGGAGAGGTCTGCTGCACCATTTGGGTAGCTCCCTGGCTGGCCGGGAATCGAACTCGTGCTGCAATGGCTGCAGATTGCCTCACAGGTTGCGTCTTAACACTTGTGCCACCAGGGAGGCCCTAGCACATCGATTTTTAAGTCAAGAAGCTTGCAAGTGTCAAAGAAATTCTAAGATAAGACATTAAGAGAGACTGATCAGGGTTTTTGCAAACACCCATAATAAATTGACTTTGCCTGCTTGTTAAGTATACACGTTCTCAGGATTTATCCTAAAGCCAGTGAATCTGAATCAGTATGGGTAAGAGTCCTGGGAAGCTTATTTTTAAGAGGGCCTCAGGCAACATTTATCACCAAAAAAATTTTGGAAACCCTGGATTGGAGGACATCTTGAAGGATTGAGAAGAAAGAGTTCTATTCTCCACATCTGCGAATTTTCTCATTTGCCTGCCACAAGACAAAGTGAGAGTGAACTGGCTAGGAGCCGGTGGAGGTGCAGACAACTTGACCTAGGATATTACTCCCCCAAGTGTTTTCTCCTTTGAAAACCACTCAAGGAGGACTACAGGCTCTATACCTGAGTAAAAGGATCACCTGCTTTTTTAAAATCTCTTTGAGCTGTGTTCTCACGCACCGTGACGTCAGTAGAACCCCAAGACTGAATTATGGCTTTGCATTCAATCAAGAATCATGCATTATTCTCTATGTTATCCATCATTGCTTCCCCACTGCTCAGAAGACAGAGTGACAGCAATACACACAATGGGCAAGCACCTGAGGTGCTTTAAACCTATCAATAATAAGCATTGTTCTCAGAAAGATTTTGCTCTGTGGAAAAAGCAGAATGGAACAGCCTTTTCAATGACTGGCAGAGGCTTTGAAATTGTTCCCTATTAAATGTGCAAATTCTGAAGCCACAAAACTCAGCCACCACCTCATTTGTGTCCTAGGGAGTTGGTTTGGACTGAATCAAAAAAATATATCTGTTCATTTTAAATATAAAATGATTATTGGATGCCCTGCTACTTATATTTAACTGAATATAAACACTAAAACTCAATCTATGTGAAATTAATGAGTTGGTAGTGAGTCTGGTGTATGTGTTTAATCATAAAATTACATTCAGAGTATTTGAAAGCATATTAATTGAAGTTCATCAAGAAGGCAGTAGGTATTTAGAAACAAACACAAATGCAAATATATCAGTACCCAGGTCTATAATTATCTATCCCCATTGTCTTGCATTCTAGTGCCTTTAAATAAAAATGAAACATTATGCATGCTTGGGCCATTTTAGACATTAGAAACATTTGATATATATTTTTTTATTTTTCCTTTTAAACTGGATTGAGTTATACAGTTAAAAACAGAATTTGCACAGTTGTATTGATGAATGGAAGCACTAGTAATTGGTACATTGTACTTCCCCTGATATTACTAGCTACAGTTTGACTCTTTGTGTAAATAGAGAAAAAAAATTCTTTATGCAATCATCTCCATAAATGCTATCATAATAAGACATATTTACAAATCAAATGTAGCAATTACCAACTTGGTGCCTTTAAACTTGCTTTAGCCCTTGGGAAATAAAATAGACAAGGTTAAAACTTGTGGTTTCTTATTATATCCTTAGATCCATGGGATGCAATGGACATTTTAACTCACTGGATGGACAAAGGTTGATCTAGCTTTCTCAAATATGGGGATTGGGATTCCTTTTCAAAAACTTCTTTAGCTGTGTATCTACTATTTTTTTTCTATTATCTAGTGATCTAGATAGCTTGTCTTTCATATTTGAGAACTTCAGCTCATAACCACCCAACTTGAGGCATAAAATACAGCAATGAAAGACTTGAAAATTTCCAAACATCTTTGTGAAGACTCAATGTCCAGAAATCTAACTGCATTTTATGAGTTCACTGGATATTAGGTAAGTGAGGACATGGTCACAGTCCATTCAGCATCTCTAAGGTCAGACCTTCCTATAAAGCTACACAGGAATGAGGAGGGTGTTTCATAGGGCGACCCCAGCTCTCCCACATATTGGGGGCAGAGCAGCTGTCAAGTCTTTACTCTTCCTCAGGAACTCTGTTGAGTTCTTTACATCGATCATCTCACTATTCCTCACTAAATACTCTATAAGAAGGAAATTATTTCCTTGTTTAACAAATAAGGAAACTGAGACATGGGCAGTTAAGCAATGTGCTCAAGAATCAGATGTAACAGACCACTAAAATAGGAAAAAAGGAAACTTGGGCTAGAAATGACAGAGTTGGGATTTTAATCCAGTACTATGTTCTTTAGGAATACTTATGTAATATATCTTCCTAAAGACCATCTAGCTTTTAAAAAAAGAAAGTCATGGAATTGACTCTCAGGTTTTTGGTAGCCTGATTTTTAAATCCTGTTTTCAGGGGAGAATCACAATGTCTAAGAGAAAATCAGAAGGTGTTTTATTTATATCAGAGATCTAGGCAATGAAATCTTGTATTTTATCATTAGTATCCAAGTTTCCACCTCTGCTATAAATGTGTTATCCCATACATTTTATTTATTAAGTTTTGTTTGCACAGACTTTCCTACAAGAAACATCTTTGCCTAACAGCATCTTACGGCAAGAATAAGCATCAGCTCTCAAGGCAGGCTGCTTGGTTCAAAACAACTCCAATGTTTATTCAACCTTGGGCACATTGCTTAAGTTCTTTAAGTCTCAAAATCTACATCGGCAAAATGAAGATGATACTGCTGGTAGCTAGGTATGGATTAAATGAGATAATGTACATGGTGCCTCACACCTAGTAAGGAAAACATTAGCTACTCTTATTTGTATAAGCATCAGACTTTAACTCAACACCACACCACAAGGACTCACTAACCATAGGGACCCATTTTTTTCTCTCTTTCCAGTTAACTGAGAAGATAATCAATACCCTTAAATCCAGAGGGAGAACAAGGTCATCTCCCAGGATTAAGTCAAATAATAGAGTCCCAAAGAAGTGAAAGCTGACAGATCATCTCAGTTCCACCTTCAGCCCTACAATTAGCTGTGTGACTTTAGGCAAGTCACATTTGGCTTTCTGTTTCCCCTTGTCTCAAACATGGCGAAATGAACCTGCCCCCTAAGGTCCCTACCAGTGTTAATATTCTGTGCAGTACCCAGGCAATCATGAGAGAGTGCCCACTTGGAACAGCTTGTAATTTCCATGCCTCTCTGAATAGCATCACCTAACTCAGGAAACCAGGAACCTAGGCCACTCCTGAACTTTGTACTTGAATGCCTAAGGCAGCAGCTAATGCCCCTGGCAAGGCCCACACCTCCTTAATCGGAAATCCTCATTAGTTCCCAGTGCAGGCCATCTATTACCTCACACCCATAATGGGAGTTAATTTCTATTGGGATCAGATGGTCTTCCCCCTGGAAATTTTTATTCATATTTCTTTCCTGTTTTGTGATTCTCAATCGGAGTTTTCTAATAACAGATCATTTCTTTTTGTCTAACTTTAATCTGGTCCTGCTTGACAAGCCCCATCCTTTTCATTGAAGGGTAAGACCACTTAAAGGAAGGCCAATAAGCCCTTGCGCTGCTCGGCCGGCTGGGGTGATTTGTCACCCGGTGCAGTGGTGGTCACACCAATGGATTTATCTCAAGGTAAATGGAGATGCTGAGACCCGGGACCTGGAGCTTTGATTAAGGCGCCCTTTTTGTAGTGTTGATAGATGTTGCTTGTGTTTATCTATTTGAAATGCCACTAAATCTGTGAATACAATGGAAAAAGAGAGTACTTTGCCGCTGAAAACATATTAGTGATTTATGTTTCAGTAAGAAGCACAATAAAGAGACAGAGGCTATTAAGAGCAGCTATTTTCATGAGAAATAGTTCTGCTTTAAAACATTATTAACCCCACCTTGATAAAGACTTACATGCATGCATAATCATGTTTACTTACCCCTTTAGTTTGGTGTGCTATGCATTTGAAGCACACACTCTCCAAATATTAATAAGTTAGTCAGCAGAATATTTACAGCAAAAGACACCTCACCCAGGACTGCTCTGCATTTAAATTTCCTTCTCTCAAGATAGGGACACATAATAAACTTATCTGGGAAGCTTTGGAGTTTATGTGGACTTCATATTGCTCAAAGCACTCTCAAATCCTACTCACCATCATTTGCTGTATCTCCAGCCCACACGCCTTCCACTCCCCATTGTAGTAGAAATAACCAGTAGGGTGACACATAAAGATTATAATGCATGGATATAACTTATAACATGAATCAATGTCATCAAGACGCACCCATTTAAATGAATAGGGTCAGATGAGAGTGCTGTATCACCCTGACTTGTGTGACAGTTACAAATGCATCACCTAGTATGCATAATAGGAGTGTACAAACCAGAAGAGATTTGTAAACTTGGTTCATTTCAAGCAGAACTGACCCACAGGAATGGAAACAAGAGAAAAGGCAACTGGGCTGGAGCTGTCCGGGAAACAAGTGATTTTGTGTTTTGCAGTTGCACAAAACCCCAACAAGGATTTTGTGTCCTCCAGCTCCGCTAGGGAACAGAGAGTCATCAGCTCAGCCTCAGTAAGCTGACTGTTTATTTACCACGTTCACTTTGAAAGGTTGCAGTGCTGGCACGAGGTTGCGATGGGGATAATAAGTGTGAGAGAGGGACTGGGTGGGCACCAGCAGCGTGGAGGAGCTGTGCAATGTTTACCAAGTCTGGAGGGAGGGAGGGAGGGAGGGGAACGGGAGAGGGTCTGGCAGAGTTAACAGTGTTCACAGTACAATTAGGTGTTTGGGAGGTTCTGTGCTGTGTGCTCTGATTTATTGATAAGGTCCGGGGACTTCTCAGCAGCGGGGTGACTATGTGGGGGTCGGAGGCGCGCCAGGGCGCTCTGTGCCCCGGAGCCCTGCAGCGGGCGGCCAGTCCCGGGCCTGGGGCGAGCGTGGTCCGACGCTTGGCACCGCAGCGCGCCGGTTGTGAAGCGCAGCGCTTAGCGAGGCCGCACCTGCACCTCATTTGCTTCTGAGCAGCGCCATGACCCGCCTGCTGATGGGGCGCCTTCCCTTTCATCCTCGGGATTATGACAAGTTATTAATTGCCACCATTAGCCGCAGCAGCCTGCCCGAGTTCTCTGCTGCTCTCTGGAGGTGAGAAACTGCGCGTCTGAATGCGGAGGGAAGAGGCACTGAGCAGTGCGGGGCAAACGGAGCAACAATCTGCCCAAAAGGGATTGTGAGATGGTGAATAATTTATTAGAAAACATTTTTCTTTGTCCTTCCCACAGACCCACAAATCCTCCCCAAGCGCTCTTTACCAGCCTTGCAGATAATGTACTTACACATCTCAGAGCCTGCTAAATAGACTGAAGAGGCCATAGAGTTCACCCTCCACACTGCAGCTGCCAGGACGTACAGAGTCAAAAGCGCCGGGCCTCTGCCAAGGGCCTGCTGATGGAGGCAAAGTAATTAGACCGTTTGCAGAGGCAGATATGAAAAGCAATGAATGCCTGCCTGCTTCCTTCCCAGGCTTCTGCTTCCGATATAGAACAGGTATAATCGTACACGTGGTTCGTATTTGCACATAACCCCATCCTTCCATTCCATACCACATTTATTGAACCTCTACTACCATAGCAAATTGCTCTGGCGCTGGTGGCTTCTGGACAAAGGGAAGGGTCTACCATCACCGCAGCCATATATAGACAGACCTAACTGTGAAGCTATTCTACTGGAGATGCAAACAGGAAAGACCCATGCCTTGCCCTCAAAGAGCTGGAAGCCTGTGTTCATGTCAGTGACGTTGCTGCAGGCTTAAATATTGATGGCTCTCCATTCCCAGAGACCTTCATGAGTAGGAGAATAGTCAAATCTCCTCAGAGATCTTTAAAAAACAGTTTGGAATTAGGTCAAGCATATGTGACATGAATATCTTCTACGTCAAGTCTATGACTTCATGATCTTTTCTTCTTTAAAGTCTTAGAAGCTCTTAAAATGATGCTCTGAAACCTGTCTTTTTAAGGTTTTGGTGGGTGAATTCAGTCTTTCAGTCAACCTTTAGTAAACACCCATTCCGTGCTACACCTCATGCTGGGTGCTGAGGATACAGCAGGGAGTAGGCGTGGTCCCTGACATCCTCGAGGACTGCTCATAGTCTGCAGAAACACTATCAAGTCTGCAGATGCTGAATAGACACCTTAGCTGAGAGCAAATCAAGCAAAGATGAAACAACAAGACCGGCTTCCACTACTGTATGAGATTGAATGTGCATAATGACAAATATGACAGGTGTTCCCCTTGCTACTAATACTGATAGCCCATCTTATGGGTAACCTGCATACTAAATGTAGAAGCACATATACACATACAGCAGAGGACTAACACATCAAGTGCTATAGTTCAGAAGATCCATTAATGCATTTTCTTATTTGACCAATGCATTTCAAGCACCTATATCAATCAGTCCTGGTGGTCAGTGCCAGGCATCTCATACCTACCTGTCCGTGCTCTGTAGGGGCTCTCAGACCAGTGCAGAAGATGGCCTAGTGTAAAAAATTAGAATCATGTGTGACCCATAACCCTACTGAGGGAGGTATCAAGTATTCAAGGAGGAGAATAAAAGAGAAAGCAGCTAGTTTAGGTATGGGATGGTAAAGGAGGACATGTAGATAAGAAATTTCCTTAGGGCAGCAATGAGCTGTTTTGGTCTTGAAGGATGAATGGGTCTGATGACGGAAGAAAGAGTGTACAAACTTCGTCTATGGGGAGAGGAAGATGAAAAACAGCAGCATGAGCTCAGGGACTGGACAGAAAAGGAAGACGACTGGTCAGTTGGAATCATTCACTCATCCATTCATTCATTCAAAAAAACACTGATGCCTACCATGCTTTAAGAATGTTTATGTCCCGGGCCTCCCCGGTGGTGCAGCGGTTGAGCGCTTGGTTGAGAAGCTGCCTGCAGCCTCTGCAGCGCCGGTTTGATCCCACGGCCGCGGGGTGAAGGTCCCACATGGTGCCCAGACCTCTCCTGCTGCTCCCACTGCTCCCCTCAGCAGTGTATTTCATCTGTCTGCCTGTTCTGTTCCCCGCTCTGGCTCTGGTGAATCCTCTCACCTTCCAGCACTTCTGACTGTACCCAGTGCTTGTATAAATAAAAAAATAAATAAATAAATAAATAAATAAATAAATAAATAAATAAATAAATAAATGTTTGTGTCCCCCTAAAATTCTTAGGTTAAAGCCCTAATCCTTTGTGTAGCTGTATTTGAGGTAGGGAAGTAACTGACATTGAAGTTATAAGGATGAGACCTGATCTGTTTTAAGGAGAGACACCAGAGAACTTATTCACTCTCTCTCCCTGCGTGCACACATCACAGAGAGGCCATGTGAGGGCAGAGTAAAAAGGCAGCCATCTGCAAACCAAAAAATAACCATGCTGTCACCGTAATCTCAGACTTCTAGCTTCCAAAATGGTGAAAAAATTAAATTATGTTAAGTCACTCCAGTCTATGGTATTTTGTTATGGCAGTCCAATCAGACAAACACACATATTCATAGCACTGCATTAAGCACTAAATAATTAATGATAATTAAGACTACTCACAGCCTTCAAAAGCTTAGGGCAAGTGGGAGAGACAAACAATAGCCAAAGTAAACATTCTGGTGGATTAGGTGATGACCTGCTTGAAATAATCATGATTTCTTCTAATAAGTGAAAATTTTATCTGTTCTTTGCTGTATATACTTAAGTATGATTTAAGGGTCTAAGGTGGGAGACATTTAAGTTATTTACCAATATTTCAATTTCTTAATTCTAGGCAAATTTCCCACTTACTTGAAGTTAACTGGGTCTATGTGATATACTTTTTTTTTTCATTATTAAGTCTTTGTTTTTTTTTTTTTACTTGTAATTATTTTTTACTTGTTTTGAAGTCACATTGGTTTACAACATTGTATTTGATTTATGGGTATAGGTTCACACTTCCTTAGATGTATGTTATAACTATTATGTAATTTACTTTAAAAGATGAATTCTGAGTAAAAGTGACAGGTGTCACTTGCAGGCAGAAATCTTCAAGAACCAAGGAGTAATATGCCAGGTTATCTTTTCCTACATAACAACCATGAACATTACAGGTGGCAAAGGCCCAATCAACCTGCATTTCTGCATGAAACAATCAGGGGTGGGAGATCTATGAAGAACAGACAGTATGAGTAAGGAAAGAGTCTTGATTGTTGTAAGTCACTAAGATTTAGGGGGTTATTTATTATGGCAGCAAATCTAGCCTAAAATAACTAATAGAAGAAAAAAGAGAGAGAAAGAAAAAGGGGTTATTTACATTCTGACCCAGGTAGATATTTGGGAATATTGGTTTTGCCACTTAGCTCCTACCAACTATGAAGGTGTTAAGAGACCAGACTTTCAGTTTCTGCTCTGCCTGGGTGTCATCTTTTCCCCTCATTAGCTTATAAAATACACTCATGTATTCCTCACAAGCAATGATGCAGTTAGGATTTTACTTGCTTTTCTACCTTTTCAGTATTAAATCGTTCATGGGAGGATTACATTTTCAATGGGAGCACAGAAGGTGTGTTAAAAAGGTGGCCCCAAGTGAAGGGATTTTCTTTAGAGACTCAAATTGTAAAAGAGTATTATTTTCTAGTCTACCAGATGATCTTGGCCCTTTGTAACCTGTTCCAAGAGCAGAGGGCTCTGGAATTGAATACCTAATTTTAAATCCTGCCTCTACCAATTAGTTACTTAATCTCCTTAAGCCTCAGGTTCCTAACCTGTAAAATGTGAAAATTAATAATACCTATCTCAGGGAGGTGTTTTCTAAGTTAAAGGAGAAAATGCACCTACAGCACAACAAATAGTAATTTTTACATTATTGGTGTTATAATTATTTTCACCATCAGGATAGGTAAAACCCAATGTCAAAGTCCATATCACAAAATCTATGATTATTTTTAGAGTTTGCTTAAGGGTCAGCAGGGAGAGAAGGGTTTGGTATAACCCTTCCTGCTCCTGCCCAAGATTTGCGATCCTCCTGCAGCACAGACTTCTTAAGGGTCATCGAAAGGTCTCCTTGGAAAGTTTCTCTTCTGATGACAGTCCTGCCAAGAGGTAACCCAAATTAAAGCCAGCGTGGATGTAGGGCACACTGCTCGCCCAAATTCTGGGAGCTGGCTTTCTTGTATGGCTTCACATGGGGATGTTTAGCAGCTCACTTTAGAGAAAGATTATCTCCTTTTTGAAAGTAACCCGACCACTTGTCAAAACCGGACTTGCAAGAGGAACTGGCAGGCTGGCCAGTCTCTTCTCTGGGTGATTACACCAGCAGTGGCTGATTTATTCAACATTAATTCAGCTTCCAGTCCCCACCATCTTCTGAGGCTCTGATTATGTGATTGAAAGAGCTTATATGGGAGTCTGCCTAAGATGGCTGAAGAAGTAAGGAAGTGTGAGTGACAGTGAACTTCTGTGTTGACCACTTGTAATTATGGAAATAATATTCTATTTGAGGAAGAGTGGCAACAACAAGAAGAAACATTTAAAGAGTTCCAAGCATATTGCCCTATTTCCCTCTGCCACTAATATAGAATATTCTTTAATTCTGAGTTTAAAAAAAAATGTATTTGGTAAACTTCCAATGGCATTTACCACGTGCCTGACCTGTGCTGTAGACCAGTGATACAATGATTCATAAAGCCTTGCCTTTCTTTATAAGAAGATCTTAGTCATTCAGTCATTCGAAAACCCACTCATTCAACATGTTTACTAGCATCTATCATATACCTGTCATTGTGTTGCATTGGGTGTATGTTGTGAACAAAACAGAAGCTCCCTGCCCTCATGAAGCTTGGAGTTAAATGACAAATATTGAAAAAGCCACCACAAAATGTCTATGGTAATGAATTGATTTTATGTCAGCAAAGGAAAACAATGAGGACCATTACCCTGGACATGTGGTGGCAGTTGGGGAGCAACATAGAAAATAACAAAGCACTGGAAAAGCTTCAGCAAAGGATGTTAGAGCATGAATGTGCATGTGCCTGTCTGTACTGACACAGGCCCACGCCGTGTCTGGGGAGAGGGGCATACAGGAAGCAGGTAAACAGGAATGATATACGCCAAGGCACACACATTATTGAAGCCTTTTCTCAGAATATAAACCATTAGGGATCTAAAAGTCTGACATAGGGAAAATTTCAGTTTATAGTGTTTCTGTAACTACAGAGATACACAAGGGCCATTTTACAGATCATTTATTCTACAAATAATAAACAATTTTATAGCATGATACTTATCATTGAAGCAAGCAATTAACACATCTTACCTCCTCCTGTAAACTCTCTTTTGACTGTTCCACCCACCTACACTCCCTTCAGTCTTCTGTGCTTCTTCTCTAAACTCCATAAACACCTATATATACCTCAACTAGAGTGCTTTCTACACTGATCTGTTTTTCTTTCTCATGCCCTAGTCTGCGAGCATCCTGAAGGCAGAGAATGTCTTCATTTCTTTGTCTGGATTTTCCCAGAAGCAGACTCAACGACAAGCATTCTGATGCAAACTGTTTATTTGGAAGATAGTGCCAGAGGACACTAGGAGGGAAGTGGTGGGGGGAAACAAAGGAGGGAGTATGTCATCAAGCAAGTTACCAACCCCTATAGAGACCTTGAGAGACCATGTAGAACATGACCCAGTGTTGTCCCACTAATGGATGAGGAAGTCCAATATTTATTCACCAACTTCCAGTCTGATGTTGGTTGAAGATTGCTCGTGGAGGCATGAGCTCTCTAGCATTTCTGGCTTGCTCTCCACCCAGGCCAAACTGCTCCTGTGACCTGAAAAAACCCTTGGGCAGAGTTGCAGGTGCAACCTTCAGATCACGGAGGTGAGTGCCAAGGAATAACACAAATAACACACAAATAACACAAATAACATCTACTGGGCTAGTTCAGTGGCTGGCACACAATGATTCAACGTAACAAAAGAGTGAAACAACACACATTAAGGACTACAATTTAGTATGGGAAACCTCATTGACAATAGCATCAAGCAAGCAGTGAAATATTACATCTGGAGACAGCATGAAGTACTTTGTGTGGGGGGAAGGGGTGTTGTTTATGCAACAGTCATGAACGGAATCACTGTGAAGAACAGTGTTGTCTTAACCCTTCTTCTCTCCTATGCCCAGTTCTCATGTAACCAGATCTCCTGTTACTAGAGTGATTCCATCTGTGTTTTCTCATCTGCAGGTGTTGGGATCTCAATTGCCAGTGCTTCCTAAGATGATGCTATTTTCTGAAAAGATATGAATTATGGCAGATGCTACTTATGAATGATATTTAGTAGCTACACTAAATATCCAGCTACTTTGTTAGACACTTACAGTCAGATGAGACCTCATCCTTACTTCTAAAAGACTCTTTGCTTGTCTGTCCTGTTTAAAAGTGACATTGATGATGTTAGCTTAGGATGTCACCTGAATTACAGCTTCTTTTGGCTAAGTTTGTATGGACAGTTACACAAAACAAGGCCAAACCAACTTAAAAAATTAATATACTTTGGGGACTCCCTGGTGGCGCACGGGGTCAAGACGCAAGCTATGAAGCTATCCGTAGCCACTGCAGCACGAGTTCGAGCCCCAGCCAGGGAGCTACCCACATGACGCAGCAGAACTCTACTGATTCACCCACTGCTCCCCTCAGCAGTGTATTTCAATCAATCTGCCTCTTCTGTTCCCCACTCTGTCTCTGGTGAATCCTCTCACCGGCCCCCCCAAACCTCTGGCCTGTACCCCAGTTCTTGTATGCATAAATAAATAAATCTTTTAAAAATTAATATACCTTTAACTTAGAGAAATAAGACACTAGAAAAAGAACACAATTCCCATGTGTTCCAGTGTATTCATTCCTGTGATTACCCTTTGGCCAGTATAAAAAAGGTAGGAGTATAGTCTCTGGCTCCAGGTTGCCTGAGTTCTATGTAAAATGGGCGTGAAAGTTGTTGCCATCTCAAAGGTTTGTAATGAGGATTAAAGAAGTTAATATAATGTATGTAAAGTTCTTAGGTTAATGCCCAGATCATCGGATAGTTTCCAGCACTATACTAGACACTGAGTAACCAAATTCGTTCATAAATCATCCATTCATTCAACAAATATTTATTGAGGATCAAATTTGTGCCAGTCACTGTGCCAAGTATGGGAAGACCATGGTAAATGAAATAAAGTCCCAGCAATAACAGAGTTTATATATTATACCTGCAGAGCACAGATCTCAGCTGATGGGATGGGGTAAGGGAAAGCTTTCTAGAAATGAGGATTATGCTAAAAGCAGAAAGTGCTGGAGCTGGGGATTGGTACGTGCATGTTCTGGAAGTGACAGAGAGTATAACAGAAAAGCTCCCCCCCCCCAATGCTCTTCCCCACTTTTCTTAGACCTCTATTCCTAAATCCATCATCATCCCCTTAGCAATTTTGTTATCACTCATCTCTCTGTACCCCAATGCCAATGGCTTGTCTAGGCCAACTCTTGTGATTGTTTACCCTCTAGATTCAGTGCAGTGAAATAGCAATGGCTTTGAAATCAGCAGATCTGAACCTGAATTGCACTTCTAGCTATGAGTTGTTAAGTAACTTGATCTTTCTGGGTTGCATTTCTCTCCTCTGTAAAATGAGGTTAACAATACCTGTTGTGAGGATCAAATAACAGTTATACAACTAAGATACTCATTAAGCATTGGTACACATGTCCCTAACAGTGGATATAATAGGTATCATTTCTGAGTCTTGAACTCTCCCTGTCTGCACTTTCTTTCAGTGGTTACTGATTCAGTTACCAGACATCTTGTGAAAAGTCAATTAGCGTCAATGAATGATAATTTCTTAGCATGAAGAGCTCCCTTTTCAAGACCTATCCTACATGTAAGTCACTCTCATTCTTAGCTGCTAAGACTTTTTCCCCCAAACTTACCTGTAAATGGGAATTCCTGACCTAAAAGACATATCAGCAGTGATCACTAAAAAAGAGTAAGTGGTTCTGAAGTTGTTTTTCTCTAGAGCAACATGTGTACAGCATCCAGAACAATTAGATACTGATTGCCAGGCCAAATTTCCATCAAGACACTGATGAGTTATAAACCCCTGGAGCTTTGCTCAAGTCACTGATGGAATCAGCGGCAGCATCCAAGCCCTTTGATGGAATCACAGCATTATAATTAGTATGAGTCCATTCATTATCATGGGCCTGGGTGTGCTCATAGGAGAGAAAAGGAGTGAGGGACAAGGAAACAAATTAAAAAGCATAAACCAAGAGAGGAAGAAAGATTAAAACCATTTAAAACTCACGAGTATAATTATAGGATCTTAACTACTGGAGTTTGGGAAACCCAAACTGATTGCAGGGGGATGTAATGAATCTAAGTATTGGCTGCAGGGCCACCTTAGGGAGAACTGTGAAGGACACTATGTTTGTCTTTTTGCCTCTTTTCCTGATTTTCTCTATTTGGGCACTTAGAATGAGGATAAAAAGGAAAGCAAGAATGAAGGGAAAGAGGAAGGAGAGGAAGGAATGAAGAGAGGAGGATGGATGATTTATAAAGCATTAACTGTGATTGTGCCCAGTACTCTGCCAGCTGCTCCCCATTCATTAGCAGGATATTGGGAACACATGTGTTGCCAGCAGACAGACCTGGCTGAGAACCCACCCTGGACCAACATGAGCAAGTGGACTCAGTTTCTTTATATCTAAAATAATATTCAAGTGATTGGTAGGATGAAATAAGATAAAGCATCAAGTGCCCTCAGCATACAAATGAAATGATCAAGTGGCTGTTAATATTATTTTATTTTCCATAACAGGGTGAGGTGGAGCTATTGTCTCCACTTTGTTGACAAAGACACTTGTGGCTGGGATATGAAGTGGACAGTGAGCTCCATCAAAGTGAGGGCTTGGACACTGCTACGCCAAGCACATACAAAGGTTCACTGAATATCATCCTGAAAGACCCAAGGTCAGTGTCCTCCCCAGTGTATACTGCTGTCCCCCAGCAGTCCTTTGTGTGGGAAGATGTAGAAAATGTAGTAAAAAGCACAAACTCAATAGTCACACAGTCAGGGTTCAAGTCCAAATTATACAACTGCTTTGTAAGACAACTACTGATATATTTCTTGTATCCTTCATGTTTTCCACCCCAAATAGCCCCTTGATCTTTTTTTTTTAATATCCAAGAGCATCTCAAAGGGAACCGAGGAAAAAGGATTATTTGCGGTCCAGCGCCTTAAAGAAGAATCCCATCCCTGGAGACCAATATGCTGGTGCCAAAAGAAAAACCTCAGGGACAAAATGAGGACAGTATGCCTGGGGTTTGTTTGTTTTATTAGCTGGAAATGAAAGAACAAAAGGAAAGAGAATTGGGGAGGATGCCCCCCCCCCTAATAATTATTGAGCATCTAGTGTACAATCTCTGGGCTGGTGATTTATATGCAGTGTCTCAATTAATTTCCATAAAAGTTCTGGAAGAAAGATTCATTCCCATTTTATAGATCAGGAAACTGAGGGTAGGAATGGATAAGCACCAATTTAACCCACCTTTCAAATGGCAAAATGAGACTCCTGTCCACAATGGTTTGAGTCCAAAGTCCATACTCTGTCTAAGACAAAAATAAGTAAGTAAGTAAATAAATAAATAAATAAGAAAGATTTGTCAGACTTTCATGATTAGCAAAATATTCCATCCTCTCCCAGGTGTCCACTGGAAAGTCATTTCTCTCTATTTGGAAAGAATACTCATGTCCATTTTCTGCTCTCTCTTCACCTGCCTTTTTTTGAATACTCTATACTGATCAATGTAATGTGGAGTCTTCAGGTCCCTGGAATTTTATTCTATGGTTAGGCCAAAAATTGGTGAGTCGTTTTAAAAATAATGCTTTGTGCTCAATATGAGTTTTTATAGCTGGTAGACAAATAAGCATTTTTTAAAAACATTTTAAAATACATTGATTCTGTTTCTTATCACATGAAAGAAGTAGGTGAGAAGTCAGAGCGCTGCCTTAAAGAGTGAATCCTGTAAAGTTTACAGGCAATCTACAGTGAAGCCAAATCTAACAGCCATGAAACAAAAAAAAAAAAAAAAATAGCACAATCACTTTATAGGGGTTTTCCAGGCAACTCCGGAATTCAAGTGTCCAAGTTCAGCTTGTGAAATAAAAGGAGTTTACGATGGTTTTCCAACAGAAGAGGAAGAGGGAGAAAAGAACACTTCTGTTAGTGAGCATCCTAAAACCAAAAGACTCACGAGGAAAGTTTACTAGGTGTGAAAAGTTTGTTCTGAAAAGAAAGGATACTAAACTATAAAGGAAACAAAATCCCTCATTAACCCAAGCAGTCCTAGAAGCATGATACATGTATTCATTTATTCACTACTGCAGCAAACCTTTATCAAATGCCTAATATAATGGCAAGCAAGCTAACTAAGGTATGCCTCCTCCCCTCAAGAAAAGTCATCAGTGTAGCAGAGAGACAAATGTGGGAACAGTGGTTATCATGTAAACCCTATATTCAAGATTTTATAACAAAAGCAACAACAGCTGACATTCATTGGGTGCTTACAACATGCCATACTTGGTTTTAAACACTTTCTATGTTATTAATTCATTTATTCCTCACAGCTATTCTCAGAAGTAAGTGCTGAAATTACCAGATTTACAGATTTACAGTCTATTTACAGATGCGATAGACAGGTAAGGGAAGGGGTTCAGGGTGAGATCTGTGAAGAAAGGGCCATGACAGCCCATCTGCGTAAGGATAGAGATGGAGAAGTGGAATAGGGAAGCATATTCTTTTTTTTTTTTTTTAAGATTCATTTTATTTATGCAAGAGCCGGGATACAGGCCAGATGCACGGGAGGGTAAGAGGATTCACCAGAGACAGAGCGGGGAACAGAACAGGCAGACTAACGAAATACACTGCTGAGGGGAGCAGCCGGCGAGACAGGAGAGGTCTGCTCGCTGTGTGGGTTGCTCCGAGGCCTGCGGGGATTGAACCGGCACTGCAGAGGCTGCGGACAGCTTCACAGCGCTGTGCTTGATCAACCGCCTGTGCCATGAGGGAGGCCCAGGAAGCATGTTCTTAATACAGGGAACAGTATATGCCAATGCAGGAAAGAACTCATGAGCAGCTACATCTGGAGATCTGAGAGCAGCTCTGTAAGTAAATGGAGGATTCACAAGGTGGTGTGATCAGAGATAAAACAGATTATGAGAAGTTTTAAGAGTTATGATAAGGAATCTGCATAAGTAATCAAACAAGGATTTTAAGCAACACAATTTGGCAGTTGACTTTGGCAGAGATGGGTACTACAGGAGAGTTGATTTGAAGTAGGGATAGGAAGCTTAACTAGAAATCTAGATGAGAGATGGTGGCTTCAAGTAGGCCAGTGATTAGGGTGATGATAAAGGGGGGCTTGAAAGATTTATGAATAATGTATTTATGTTTCTGCAATTACACTTCTGTTTGTGGTAATACATAGGAAGAATTAGATATTCATCCATGGATCGGTAGGCATTTTTGTTAAAATTTTTTTTTGAATGAATCTGGACTTGTTCATTCACTATTACCTAACAAAAACTAGTACATACTTTAAAAGGTCTATGTACAGTATCTGGTGCATAACACATGATCAAAATTACACAAACATGATATCGAAGGAGCCTAATATTTTGGGGACAACCCTGAATCCAATAGCTAAGAATTAGAAGCCAATCATTTAATTGAGCAAGGTTTTCACTAATCTAGAAGGTAACATCTTAAATTGTAGAGTAAATGTTAGTTGTGTTTAGATTTAAGGAAAATGAGAATCCCTGGCATAAAACATTATACCTCACCTTCACATTGAGTTTAATAAATTACCCCTGCCATCCTCTCTTATCAACACGGAAAGTGGGCAACAGAGAAGCCAAGCTACCTACCCAAAGCCACACAGCAAGATACTGGAGGGAAAAGAAAATATTTATATATCCATCTTGTGTTTCCTTCTAATGTTGCTTCTACTTGCGCTGTAAGAGAAAGTTAGAAAATTAGGAGTAAAGAGAGGGAAAGCAAATTCTGCATAAAAGAAAATAGTAAAAAAAAAAAAAAATACAAATGTGGCCTAATTTAATTTCCAATACGTGGTCTCCATCGTCAGCTTTGAAAAAAAAAGGTTAAAATGCAATTCTCCGAAACGAAGTTATTCGATAGAGGAATATTAACCTCCTCGCCCCTTGTACTTTGACTCGTTTTATCTCCTTTTCATTTTTGTTTGTGGGTCTATTCATTTTGGTGAGGCCAGGCACGTTGCTAGGTAACGGGCCCATCGCGGGCCAGCATGTTAGTTTGTCTGGCTGGCCTGGGTGGCAGACTTCCCCAGCGCTAGCTGCCGGCCATGCAGTCTCTTACAAAAAGCATTTATCACCGAGCAGGCACCGTAATGGCCACTCAGTGGAGGGGAAATTGAGCTGACCCAAAGGCCAAAGCTGTTAGGGAGACTGGTGGGAAGGGTAAGAGGGTCACAACACCCTTTTCCCACCCACTTAGTGGGCAGTAAGCGCTAGAACAGCCCAGCCACTGTTTTCACTAACATATCCTGAGGCTTTGCACCTGAAATAAATGTTTGCTTGACATTAACGATAAAAAAAAGAGGCAAAAAAATAAAATCGGTTTGCTCCAAGAACAATGAGCTATGTGATTTAAAGTTAGCCAAAGTTTCCTCAGATTTGATCTTTGGTAGTAACGCTGGAGGGGAGATTTGAGAGGAAGGAGCAGGGATTAAGTAATTAATATATTCTGATAACGGTCATACATATATTTACCTAGCTCTTTAAATTTAAACGTAGAAAAACCTAAGTATCTCTGCTTTTGAAGGTTTGTTTTTTTTTTAAACCCCTACAAATGAGTCCAGTATCAAATGCTGTACAAGTATCAAATGCTGGTCACCAAATTGATATTATACTCAAATTTCTGTTTAGGTATTACATAAGGACAATTTCCTTCAATGTTTATTTATTAACAAGATGCTTAACAAGAGATAAAGATAAAAAGGCAAACCAGAATTTTTTTAAAATGTACTTAAAAATGCGTTTTGTAACATGGAGTGACAACACATATTTGAATATAATAGTTTTCTATATAGTGTTATAGATTTTTCTAGAACATTGTTAGGACTTCCCTGCCTTTTCTCTGAATTATTTTAAGTGAATAATACAGAACAAAGAAAAATGGCATTACACAGGTAATAAATACAAGGATAAATAATTATGAACAGTATAAGGATTGTACACAAATACCATTTTATCCTGGCAGCATAGAAATCTTGGCAAGGTTCAATTGTGGAAGAAAACATAAATTCCTTTTCTAGAGCATTTGTTTTGCTTAATTCAACTATAGATTGTGTTATTTTGTGTTAGAACTTTTAAAAAAATCATGTACAATTATAAAAGAGGTTTTCAATGTTTTACATTAAAAAGTAAACACTAAATATTATCTAGAACTTCATGTAATCTCAATATTCTTTATTTGGGTGCAAATGCTGATTTTTCAAATGAGGACCATGTAACCACCTTTCAATAATCTTCACGCTGAATTTTGTAGCTGTGTGATTTTGGCCAAATTCCCCTTTTCTGAGCCCTTGCTTTCTCACAAGAGAAGAGCAGAAGGAAATAATCTGCCTCAGCTACCTCCCTGAGTAATTGAGAAGATCAGAAGAGATGTTAGCTGTAAAGCACCATACAGACATGAGACAACAATTTTATTACTGTGAAAATAAAAACGTTTGGAGAAACTGAAGGATGAGAAGTAGGTTTCCAATTGTACTCAATACTCTCTCATTTTGGATAGACTTAGGTGTCTTTCCTTTGTGAGATATGCCAAAGTTAGAAGCCCATTAGAGCCACTGTGTCCTTTTGACCAATTAGCCTCATTTTATACATACATAAGAGGAATTGCCGCAGCTTTTCTTCAGAGAAAGAACAGAGTTAAGAGCACAAGAAAGGCCCTTCTCTTCACTCTGGCTCACTGCTTTCAAACAACAATATTTAACCAACAAAAGAAGAGACCAAGTCAATCTCAGTTTTAGTGATTCCCTTGAAAGTCATCAAATAAAAATGTGAACTTTAAAATTGATCAGGATTAATTTCACTGACACTGTATCATAACATATATCTCTTCAGAGACTCATTTGTTGGGCTGCAGATGCAAAGAAAGTAAGGCTAGAAATAAATCAGAATACAATAAGGCAATTAGACTTTTGCCATTGATAGAATACTAAAAATGTCTGATTTATCAAAGCATTAACAAACAGAAATAAACGCAAGACTTATATTTTCTTACAAAATACCTAGAGAGGAAGATTAAAATAATAACCAAGACCATGTGTATCAATAAATTTAATTTATAAATATGCTCTGTTGCCAAAAGATGCTCTTTCATTTGCTAATCTGAAGAGTACAACAGCACGGGATGATTTATCAATACAAGTGCCACTCCGATGTACAACTGCTGTTCTCATCTCCAAGGACATTTTCCTAGCCCGATGAGAGCTTTCTGGTGAAATTGAAGTGCAGCTTAATAAGTTATTTAATCTTTACCTGCAGTCATTATCTTCAATCTGAAATTAAACAAATATATTTATAGTGTTTTTCCTCATAGTGATCTCAATTCCAGTGTGGTTATAGAGAGAAAAATAGTTACCTGTGTCAGGCATTGTCCTAACTGCTTATACATTATCTCATTTAATCTTGACGACAGCTCTATAAAGTGGAAATCATTTCCATTTACAGGGAGAAAATTGATTGTGATATAGGAATGGTGACTTGCTTTTAATAAATACCAGAGTCAAAACTTGAACACAAGCCTGTCCAACTCCAATATATGTGTTCATAATAACTACACTATAATCACTTCGAAGCAAGTACTTGATAAACAAATGGTACTACATTAAATTAAAAAGCTTCTGTGCAGCAAAAGAAACCATCATTAAAACAAAAGGCAATCTACTGAATGGAAAAATATATTTGCATATATCTGACAAGAGATTAATAACCAAAACTTATAGAGAATTCATACAACTCAACAACATGAAAACAAACATATCGATTAAAAATAATGAGCCAAGAATCTGAATAGACACTGCTTCAAAAAAGACATAAAAGTGACCGATAGGCATATGAAAAGATGCTCAGCATTCCTTATTATTAGAGAAGTGCAATCAAAACCTCCATGAAATATCACCTCACACTTGTTAGAACAACTGTTATTAAAAAGATAAGAAACAATGGTTGGCAAAGATGAGGAGAAAAGGGAACCCTCATATGCTGTTAGTGGGAATGTAAATAGGTGCAGCCATTATGTTAAACAGTATGGAGTTTACTTAAAAAATTAAAAATAGAAATACCATATGATCCAGCTCTCCTACTGCTGAGTATTTATCTGAAGAATACTAAAACACAATTTGAAGAGATATATGCATACTCAAGTTAACAACAACATTATTTACAATAGCCAAGAGCTGGAAACAGCTTAAATATTCAGCGATGAATCAGTGGATAAAGATGTGGGGTGTGTGTGTGTGTGTGTGTGTGTGTGTGTGTGTGTGTGTGTATGCAATGGAATACTATTCAGTTATACAAGGTAAAAGATGAAATCCTGGGCCTCCCCTGGTGGCGCAGCGGTTGAGCGCTGGGCTGCAAAGTTGCCTGCAGCCTCTGCAGCGCCAGTTCTATCCCCGGCCACTGGTGAGGGTCCCACATGGCGCGACAGACCTCTCCTGCTGCCCCCGCTGCTCCCCTCAGCAGTGTATTTCGTCAGTCTGCCTGTTCTGTTCCCCGCTCTGGCTCTGGTGAATTCTCTCACCCTCCCGCGCTTCTGACTGTACCCAGTGCTTGTATAAATAAATAAATAATTTTTTTTAAAAAAGATGAAATCCTGCCATTTGCAACAACATAGGTGTATGAAGAGGATATTAGCATATTAAGTGACATTAGTCAGATGGAGAAATATAAACAATATATGATATCACTTATATGTGGTAGATTAAAAACTGAACAAAACTAACCCTTAGACTACAAGAACAAAACAGTGGTTATCAGAGGGAAAGAGGAAGTGGGTTAAATAGGATAAAAGGATAAAACACATAGTGATCTCAATCCCAGTGTGGTTACAGTGTGGTTTGGATAAAACGCCAAATAGAGTTTTGGTGTTAAACATAATTTAGTATATACAGGTTAGGGAAATACAGCTGGTGCGAAATGAAGTAGAGCTATATGAGAATTCAGGGAAAATCACTCATTTCATCCATGTTGTGTGCCAACCCTGTGCTAGGCATTGGGATATAGAGATGAAGCACTCACAGTTTAGGCTTTATATGGTAAAAGAAAAAAAATAAGAATAATGTGAATTCTTGTGAATTTTAAGTTACTTATTTGAAATTTAATTGTCAAGTAAATAAAACCTGAGGTTAATCTAAATAATTTATATGAACAATAAAACAGATGTTACTCCCAGATTGTGGCAAAGTTCAGCCTCATAGAAATTAGAAATTTGTAGTATGTCTGAATTCACTATCCTCTTGGAAGTGGGGACGGAAGCAAAATTGTTTAGACCAAGTGCTCCTTTCAAATAACTATTTACTCAAGAAGATGCTGAACTGCCTTGAGATTCTGTCCCCAACTGGTCAATCAGGCTGGATTCCCCTATTGACCTTTCCTAATCAGACCAGGCAGGCCTTAGAAAATGATGGAATCAATCATTATATAAAGAGATTCAAAGGATACAAAGCAAAATAATTCAACAAATCTAGAAGAATTGTAAAGAGAACTACTGACTCTATAAATGGCAATATGTATAAACTCAGCCAGTTAAATCTCTAGTTGAGTAAATCTAGAATTTCATTGTTTTGCCCCAAGTCACACAGCTTGATAGGGGCTGAGTCAGTTCTAGAACCAAGACCCCTTGACCTCAGTTCAAAGCTTTTCCCACTACTCATATTGCTTAGACAATGTCAACATACATGAGAAAGATA